AGCTGGTATATTGCTTAACTATTCAGAGGCAAATGTCTGATCAATTCAGATAACAGCTCTTAACCATTCAGACTCTGTATAATACTTAACCATTCAGAGGCAAATCTCTTAACCATTCAGACATCTGAACCATTAAGAGGCTGAAACAAACAGTCTGAATCATTAAGTGCTGAATCATTCAGACATCTGAACCATTAAGAGGCTGAAACAAACAGCCCCTAAGACTAAAATATAGAAGAATTTACTTAAATAACACTAAAACATAATGACTTTCTCTAAATAGCACCAGATGTGTTTTTCTTCCCAATGTATCACTTTTAGTCATTATGCATTAGTCATTATTCAAGTAAATATTCGTCATCATAGGACATTATTAAGTGCTACTTAGAGAATAAAATAATTTAAGTGCTATTTAGAGAAATGACTTACCTTTTAGTGCTATTTAGTGCAAATAATTCCTAAAATATACCCCCTCTCTTCACAAATAAATTTGCCATTGCGTGTTACGATGTTTGAATGAAGTTTTTTTCAAATCATTTTATATGAAAAATGATATAAAATTTAAAAATAAAAATTACATATTAAAAAGCTATATAAAAGGACCTGAAAACTAAAGGTGATATAACTATTTAAAGTGAGTTTAAAAAGGTGGAAGTTTAATAAATTACCTTTAATTCAAGTGAGTGTAGTATATTAAATAAGGCAGATTCAAAATTATAAATAAAAAGAGTATAAATAGTTAGCGTTTTTCAAATTTTAAAAGCAGAAATAAAAAATTGTAACCGAGTAAATAATTCAGAGTGACATGCTTTTACACCAAACATGGATACGAAAAAGATAGAAATATGAAAATCTACCAGAGCCGGGATCAAGCTTAGATATGGTAGCTAGAGAGATCGCTGTCGAGATGAGACTTGCACCGTGACATATAAAGTCATACATGACATATAATGTTTATTAGCTCCTCTCTTTGGTTGCTCTTGATATCTTAATTTTAGTTTTTCTATTTTTTTCAGTTGTTAAGTTTCAATTTCTTTTTGTACTTTTTAGTTTTTTAAATTTTGTACTATTTAATTAATTGTACTCCCTCCGTCCCAAAAAGTTTGTTATGTTTAGAAAAAACTCTATCCCATAAAGTCCGTTACATTTCTATTAAAAAATCACTTTTACCCTTACTTTTTCATACCCTACCTATCACATCATACCTTTATTCTAATAATCTACCCATCACATCCTACTTTTAACCATCACATCAAGGGTATTTTTGGAAAGTCAATACCAAAATATCGCTCCATTAATTTCCCAAAAAGTCAAATCGTCCCATTCTTTTTGG